TTTTTAAGGGGAAAAAGTGTCTCATTTTCATGGTTGCAGAGAGAAGCTTGAAAATGTGACTTCACAAGGGAAACGTAAAAAAATTTTTTTTTTTTAAATCATAATTGTCAGTCATGACTCGGGGGAGGGCGGCAGCACAGTCATGATTTTTGAATACTTGGGGTTGCCAATACTGAGATCACTGAGCTACAACAAACGACTGCGAACCCAATCCTAAAGTGCTTAGTGCCATCAGTTGTTATCATCTATGGCAGCTGCAGCTGCCATGGAACTTCCGAGCACAGACCCTGTATGATAAAGCTACATATTTTTGTCATTATTCATCTATTCTGTGTTCAATAGGATGAAATTTCCTATGACAAGGAGGAGGCTCCGACCTCATCCTCCCAAAAACTGCTACCTTTTTTAACAAAACTTGGTCAATGATTTTTTGAGTGCCCAACTTGAGACTCGTGGACCTGATTTTTTTCCATAATGCTGCAGACCCAGGGGAAGCTGAGGTGTTGACTTTATAGAGTGTTTATTGTTGTAGTATCCTAGGAGATGGGCCAAAATGTTCAATGTGCTAGGATACTACAATAAGTGCCCTATTAACACAACAGACAAACATCCCAATAGCAAGCGAGTATCAGACCTAAGTGAACTACAGCTTTTCTCCATGAAGTGCCTACTCTCACTGTTGTGAATTGTGGCTTTAGTTTTATTCTCTTCATTTAGTACATTAATTTGTGTTTGTGCCCCCACACAAACTTGAACTGTGTACATGGCCAAGGAGCAGTGGAACAGTTTCTCTTGCTGTTAATTTTAAGAATGGATTCTAATGCTGGATTTAGAAGTTTTATAAGGACACTGTCAAAGCAAGATCTAGCAGCACTAGTGGGGCAGATGCTGCAGAAGCCTGGAAGAGAGACCAGGGAGGACAAACCAAGGGAAAGTGAGAAGGTGTGGGAAGGAAAAAAGAAAAATATGTGGGAAGAAGGGAAAGTGATAGAGATACATGAGTGAGTGGATGGAGAGAGAGATCTATCAGGAAAGACTAGCATTTGTTTTAAAAAATGCTCCACAGATTCCAATACCAGAAGGGACTATGGTGATCACCTAATCTGACCACCTGTACAATACCTGATTTTTTTCCCCCCAAAACATTTTTCCCCTCAAACATTCTAGTATTTATTAAATGCAAGTAATATAAGCATGAATGGAAGAGAAGGGGGTCTCATCCTGAGTCTGTTCGTGGCTTTGGCTGGGGAAGATATTCTCAGTAACTTATCCCACAAAGCCTTTCTCAATGCTTGCAAGGTATAGATCAGGATGACATGCATCTCCTATACAGTAGAACATCTACCCTCCTTTCTCAAGTCTTAGGAAAGAGACCTAATCTCTAAAAAGACTGTGCTGCACAAGGACTCTCTCTATGGATGTCAAAAGGTCTTGCCTTTTAAGTAACACATCAGAAGGAATGAGACTATATGGGAAAAAACTCTGACCATGACCCTGCAACTAACTCTGTATGGGGTTTGAAGTCAGTGGGGCTTTGTGTGGAGGAATTTGCAAGATCAGGGCTTATAATTAAGTTTGGAAAGATCAGATTTGTATTGGTAAATGTTGCTTTCACCACACACACACAAATCAATCAAATATTTCCACTGATGATAGAAATTTACAGATAAGCAAAGTAAGAAATGCTGTCTGAGAACTTAGTTTGATCTAAGAATATTTACTTTATAGATTTTTGACATGGGAGGTTGACAATTTGTGTTAAATTGTAGAGCTGTAATTGAGTCAACATCTGCCATTAAATAATTGCTGACCCCTTTCTTGTTTTCCCACCCCATAATTTCCTACAACTATGAAAATATAAATAAAGCTTAACTAATCAATATCATATGCTTAATTGAAGAAAAAATCTGGCAAGCCTACTTATAACTCCACGTACTTTTATATGTTTACTTCTGAAAGACAAGACATTATTAGGTGAATTAGAACTCAAGTTAAAGATTAAAACCGCTGTTCCAGCACCATTGTTTATGAAAATTTCAGTGACAGGTGTTTTGATATAAATATTCTCCTGCCACACTTGTAATCCAACTACTGCAGCACTGTGCTAGGGCACAAGAGCCAAGAAATGAAACAGGCTGGTCTAATTTCTCTGTCCATACAGGAAAAAAAGCTCAGAGTGTGTAAACAAACTACATAAGTATGGTAAAATAAGTCAAGTAAATCATTAGAGTTCTTCCCATTTGAATAGTAAGATGTTTAATAGCACAGGTAAAGATATGTTGTTTTTAAAAACTGTTAACCTGACAGCATCTCTTTAAGAGGGACATCTTGCTTGTATCATTTAGGTGGCTAAAAAGGATTGTGAGAGTAAGGTTAGATATTTGAATTATCCATACACTCAGAGTAAATAAACAAATGCATCACCTTATTCACAGAAAGCTATAAGCCTGTGGCATTATTTGCAGGACAAATACCTAATAATGCTGAAAACAGAACTACAAAAGACATACTGAGCAGAAAAGACTACTGTAGATCTAGGTAAATAGCTGAAGTGAAGTCACTTGGTTTTCAAGCCTGATTTAATTTTGAGTTTTCCTATACTCTTGTTCTCCTCAACAACCTTCTGTTGGGTGTGATGTTGGAAAGTGGCTGGGTTACTGAACTGTGTGATGGACCCAGGAGGAAGGCGCAAAACCAAAATGGTGCGAGACAACCCCAGAAGAAAGGTAAACAGAACACTGACTAGAGCTCCTAGGCGCTACAGTAATACAAAACATTTGTAATGTATATAGTGTCCCTGCATCACATCCTTGAGGATGCCAAAACACTCTGACATACTATCAGAAAATTCTCAAAAGTATGTAAGGTAATTTAATTTCTATGAGTCTTAGGCTCCTAAGTCACTGAGCACTTTTGGAAAAACATTATACTTTATGTACAGAGCATCACTGAAAAGCAACTGTCTCTGTAGCAGAAGGCTGCAGCCAGACACCTGGAAAACTGCACAGCTGTGGAATGAGAGGGAAATTTTGCCCGATGACACTGGCCCAACAGGGGAAACCTATTCAATGTAGAGCAGAAAGCAGCTCAGGTTTTAATCTCCGCTCTCCTCGGAAAATAATTGGATGTTGTACAATTTATCTACCTTAGAAGAATCAAGAACCAAATCAGTTATACAGGGTTTTGAACCTAAAGTTCCAAGGAAATGAGACCCTTTTAAAGTGGTGCTTACATCACTACTAATTTTTCTCTATGTTTGCCCTACAGCCTTGATTTAACATATAGTATGTTAGCTGTCTGCCAAATTAAATTAATATTGTCCAGTTTAAAAGGTAGAGATGGGAGGGAAGTGAAGTAGCAGTAACTTCATACAACATTCCACTTTTTAAATGATTTGAAGCCAGCTATAGCAGGCAGCTGGGTACCTAAGGCAAATGGAGATTAAACCCCAGACTGATGCATGGTAATATTGTGCGCTATTAAAAGAAAGGCTTTTTAGCTTGGTTTACTGAGTTGTGGTATCACTGATATCCTATCAGTCCTGTCTGTGTTTGGCAGGTGCATACTATACAATAACAATGGTGGTTTTAACAGATTTTTCCCATGTTCATTTACATGTTGTCCTATTTCGATTTGACAACAGAAGTTGCAAACTGTTTATAAATTACACTATGACTTCTGATTCCTCTTAAAGAGAAGCTTTTTTTCCCCCAGTCCCCATCCACCTCTGCCATTATTCACTGGCGCAGACTCTGAGGTCAGGCAGTTGTCATGCAGAAACAGCAGAGAATGAAAAAGCTATTTTATTCATTTGTCTCAAGAAATTTGGGTCATGTTTGTAGACATTCTGAAATCCTCAAGAACGCAGTAAGCTAGACTCTGGACAAAAGTTTGAGGTCATTTTCTTACTGTCCAGATCCTTTGTTCTGGTATATATTTAGGCATTGGCTCCTATGAAGTTTAATACATTTAGCATTACATTTCTGTTGACAACCCCTCACTGAGAACATTTTTGTTTAAATTTAAACAATGGACTTGTTTTTTATAATCCTACTTTTCAACTATGAATACGAATACCTCTACAGTCTGTAAAGCCCTGTCGGTTACTGTATAGTTGCATTAAGCTGATACTTCAGTACCTGCCCAGAAGCTGTTCAATCCAATTTTCATCTCTAGCTGTTGAATAAAACTATCTGTTAAAAGGCTGTAAAGCAAATACCCCAGGAGTTTTTAACGGAAGGTAAAAAATATTAAATGCATGGCTCCTTGCCTCTGAACTTTTTGGTTTAGAACAGAGATTTCTAAACAAAAGAAGGGGAGCTGGGGGAAGGTATAATAAGCTAGTGGTGGTTTTGTTGGTAGGGCTTATTACATTTGTTACCTCTGCGTAACTGCTGGACTGGTACGCTGATATTTTGGAGTTTGGCTATGGTGGCCACAGCTTTGACAATTCAAAGGAGAGAATCGCCTTGAGATCTCTCTCAAGGGAGACACGGTGGAGATGCAGCCTGTATCGGCTACACCCAGCTGTAGGGTCGCAGTAGGACAGCGGGGTATCTGTCTCATTCCACCCCAGGCCCCCCTCCAGCCGGCGCAGCGCGGCCCGGGGCAGAAGGGACGTGCCCCACACCCAGCGGGCGAGCGGCCGCCGGCACGGGACGCTGCAGCAGAGGAGAAGGGCCGGCTCCGGGCAGCGCCGTGGGCTGACGGGGCTGGGGGATGCGGCCCGGCCCGGGGGGGGTCCATTGTGCGATCCGTCGCCAACGCCGCTGGCCCGCCCCGGAGCCGGGACCCGCATTGTTCTCGCGGGGCGGCGGAAGTGGGTGGGGGGGGAGCGGTTTGGTCCCCTTTTAATCCTGTCACGAGCCGGGCCCGGCCGGCTTTAGCGGCCCCTGTTGTGCGGGGGCGAGGGGAGCTGGTGCGGCCGGCCCCGAGCCCTGCGCGGCCCCAGGGCGGGAGCGGGCTGGGCCGGCACAAAGGCGGCGGCGCCTGGCGCTTACCTCTCCCGAGCAGGGCGGCGAGGGCGGCGGCCAGCAGCAGGAGCGAGCGGCCGGCCATGGCCAGGCCGGGGCGGGCGGCGGCGGCGGCGGCGGGACCTCGGCGCGAGAGCTCCTCTCAGCCACCCGGCCAGGCGGCTGCCGTCAAGGCGAGGGGCGGGGGCGCGAGCGGCCGGGGCGGCGCCGCCTCCGCCGGGGAGGGCGGGAAGGGAGGCGGCGCGCGAGGAGCGGGGCCGACCCCGAGGGGAGGGGCTGGGTGGATAAGGGGGAAGCCAGGAGGGGCGGGGTGCCGCAGCTGAGGGGCTTCCGCGCAGGGGGGTCCCCAAGGGGGCCGGATCCGGCTGGGGAGGCCAGGAGAAGCGGCCCCGTGCAAGGCGCCCGGAGCCGAGGCGGATCGGTGGGGCGGGGATGCGTGAGGAGGAGGGCGGCGGGGGGGTCCCCGGGGGTGGGCAGCGCTCCGCCGGCTGCGAGGGCTGTGTGCCTGGAGCACGCACAGGCGGGGACCCCAGAGCAAGGGGGCTCTGGGCCGGCCCGAAAGATCCGCCCCGCCTCCCCCACACACTTTCTCCTGGTGCAGTCCCAGATTTGGTTTTTGAATCCAAACACAAATAGGACCCAGCTTTGTTTTGTTTCACTGTGTGGGGGAGTGTGCGGGGAGGGGGAGGGGGATGCAGAACATACTGGTCATCAGTCCCCAAATATGAACCTACGGGATGAGGCCCGGGATTTTCAAGGGGTCTAAAAGTCACCACTGTCCACAAATGAAACTTGTTACTGAAAGCTGCTGACCTCATCAAAGCAGATCCATACCATAACCAGGCCAAAGAAAATAAAGAGCCCACTCTCCCTTCGCTATTCAGAATAAGAATAATGGTAGAATGGGCTGCTGTACTTATATCAGTAGCAATGGATGAGCAGGAAGTATGGTCTCATTCTAATTTTAAAACAAAACAAAATCCAGCAGTAGGAGTGCAATGCAAAAATCAGCATCTGAAATCTTGTCCCTTTGCAACCCTCATAAAGAAGCTGAACAGAAGCTATAGAAGGAAGTACAAGGAGTAGCCTAAAAGTTAGCATTCATGGTTTGCATGTTAACACATGTATGCTTTCTGACCCCCTCTGCCTGCTACATGCAGCCCCTCTGCATGACCTATTCCTGGTGCTTATCTGGGGTAGAGGATTGGAATGTGGGTGCATGTCAATACTTCTCTTGCAGGGTGCTGTGACCATTTGCCACTTTCTCCACACTTGCCCTGTGTATTTGATGATAAGGGTAATGAGTTCTAGGTATTGGCACTGTCAAAATAAACACAACATGAAAACTGAAAACAAGAAATGAAAGACTATCATGATTCTGTGCTATTTAGTTGAATTTGTTTAATTATGGTAAAAAGATTAAAAATAACTGTTATGATCCCTCAGTGCAGAGATCAGTTCTTTGGGAAGCCAGAGCTGTCTTGATGGTTTGCTGTTCTTTGCACAGCAGTCAGTGCATTCATACTGTCTGTCAGGGACTCTGTGTTGTGTGTTCTGCAGCTTTTGGGTTTGCTTGTGTGTGCGGCCCAGGAACATATTTAAATAATTGTTCTGGGCACAGAATTTCCCTTTTAGTTAAAAGGCCAGTCACATGGGTGCAGCTGGAATTTGAGTGGGATGTTAATAAAGCAAGTCTGTAAACATAAAAATTCTGACACGCTTTTAATATGTGGCACAGACAGTGCAGCCACAATGGGGCGATTTCAGTTGTGTTGGAACTTTAACCTTTATTCTGAGTTCCTTGGCTTTGGGGTGCATTTGTACTACACGAGCTTTGGGGGAGGCCTAGCCATGGAGCAGAACCCCACTGTGTTAGGAGCTGTTCAAATATAGAACAAAAAAACAGTCCTTTTTCCAAGAAGCTTACACTCTAAATACAATATGAGCCAACAGGAAACGATGAGACAGTACAGGTCTGCATGATAGGCAGTGGAGTCAGCGCACCAACAGCCTAACCATTGTCAAGTTTTTTGTAGGCACCATGGCAAAGGAAAGTTTTGAGGAAGGATTTAAAGCTGGATAATGTTCACAAGCTTTGTTGTAGATTCACTCCTACAATGAGTGTCTTCTTTACTGGTGTTGTAGCATAGCTTGTTTAGAGCTGAATGAATGAAACTGGTATGAATGAAAAGGAGCTCTCCACTCCCCTGTAAAAGTGGGTTGGGAGGTGTTGCTAGGGCAGCATGGGGAATCTTGCTCTACCATTGCCCTTAGTCTAGAGAGGATTGCAGGTTCTGTGGCTGTCAAAGCAGCACCTTTTATGAGTGCTCATTCACACAGGAAAAACGTGATAAAGAAATGCTGCTCAGGCAGCTGTACCCAAGTGTATGTTTCGTTAAGTAAATGCGATGCCGTGAAACGTGTATTCTGACTGTTACCGTTGCAGACTCTTCTCTACTGCTGCTGTAGCAGAGGTGGAAAGAATCACAGTGACGCTAATGTGAGGAGAAAGAAGGAAGCAGGGAGGAAACCACAGAATACAGAGTAGCCACTGTAAAGAAGATACAATTCAGCTGCTGCACAGAGCCTCATATGCCTTGAATCTCTGCCTCGTTTTCTTTCACCTCTCCCCTTTATGGAAAAAAGGAGGAAAAAAATTTTTTTTTCTCAAGAGAACAATCACACCCTAACTAACAGAGCAGCATTTGTATTACCACAGTCTGGTTCCCCAATAATCTCTCCATATACTATTTGCATTTCAATAGACCTTCAAGCTTCCCGTAATTGTTGTGGAGGGTAAAAAGGCTATTATATTAGACTTACATCAGCTTTTGCAAGTCTGAGAAGATAACAGTAACATTGATAGCAGCTGACCTGAATCATGACAGCATATTGTTTGCAGTTCCGTATGAGTCTGGGGTTTGCACCATTGTTTTGTGATTTGATTCATAATTATGACAAAATAAATGGATTTAACAGTTTAATTGATGGGAAACACAGAAGCAATGCAATGATGCATTGTGGGGCCAGAATGGAACAGAGCAATGCAGTCTAAGACTGCATCAGGTCTACTGAGCTAGCTAAAGAACACTATGAAATCACATGGTGCATTGCTTGAATAACCACTTCAGCAGAGACCCAAAGACTGTCTTTTATGGATCAGAGGGACTCCTTCCATGGGAAATGTCATTACTGTGAACTAAAAGTTACAGAATTGTAAGAGTAGATTTTTCTCTCCTGGTACTGTGTTGTGATGGACACAATTCTAACTCCTGAAGATGGAATGTAAGTGCCCACTCCAAAGCACATCAGAGTCAATTGGAGTCTTCAGTGAGCTTTGGCTCAGGCTCTATGTGACATGAAAAGTAGAGCAGTAACACATAACTTGATCAGCATGAGTACTGGATACTCTCAGGCTGAAACTATCTCAGGATTTGCCCACATCACATTGGATGAATCATGTGTGTAGTGGCTCTGTGCTCATTCAGGTTTTCCACTCTGAGATATTTTTGTTTGCAATTTTCCAAGTACAATCCAGTAACTGTTGAAGAGGTGGAGACAGCAGTTTCTCTTTAATTCTCTCTGGGAAGGCATTAAAAGTATAATTTTTAAATAGTGAAGTGAGCTGAGCAGTGATGAGGGGAAAATTTTCAAAGGCACAGATAGGCGTTGACTTTCAACAGGAGTTAGGAGTCCAACTGCCCTTTGTGCCTTTGAGAATCTTCCCCCTTGGAGCCTAGCACATTTTTGGCTGCTTGGAGAATAATCAGGAAAATGCTGCTCTCTTAGGATATGTTTGGCATCCTTATTAGACCAAGCAGGCTATTTCCATTTTCTCCCTGGGCTCATTTCTATAATAATAATAAAATCAGTTGCACTTTTAGAATCTTTCATCCCTGGATTCCAGAGCATGTTAAATGATGGACATGTGTAAGCATTATTTGAGCCACCCCTGAAAGGCAGGAGAATGGGCTGCTGTGTGACAGTGCAGGGTATCACTATGCAGTTGTTTAGAACAGGAAGTGAAGTAAATTTGTAGAAAATGCTGGATGATTTTTAGTAAAGGGGGTAGGACAGGATCACATGCAGCCTATGATCACTAGATATTTTCCTCCTCCCAGAAATTCTTTCCTACCCTAGACACAATATCCCCAACCCCAAACTTCCAAATCTCATGATTTGTTTGAGCCTGATTCATGATATTTGAACAAGACTAGTTTTTTGGGGGTTCTTTTTTAAAATGTCCCTTCTGATTTTGGAACACTGAGGAGGGGGTCACATTTTCAAAGTTTTTCTCTACAGCTGTGAGGGCTAGGGAATTACAGTAAATCCCCCTCAGAAAAAGAGGGATTCTTGGATTATTATGACTGCAGGAGCTGAGGCTTTGGGGGAAGCATCCTTTATTGTCAGACTCTCAATAAAATTGCGAGCAATGGCAGCACTCTTAAGATAGCCATCAACGTATGCCACACCCAAAGGCTGCGTTGGAGTCATGTGACTCAGATATTGCCGGCCTCTCCTGTGGTCATGGGACAACGGAGAAGAAAGTAGAAAACTTCCCTGGGTCCTCTGGCAGCAGTGGCCAGTCAGCAGGACGTAGTGGCCAGCTAAAGCAGGACTCAGATAGCAAAGATCCTTCCTTAATCTTCTCCTGTGGTGCACATTGAGTGGCTAGAGCTAAGGAAGGAGACTCGGGGCTGGTCTACACGTGCAGTTCTGCAGCGGCGCAGCTGCACTGATTCAGCTGTACCACTGTAGCACTTAGAGCAGCAGTCCTCAAACTGTGGGTCGGAACCCCAAAGTGAGTCGGGACTGGGACCCCATTTTAAGGGGGTCACTAGAGCTGGCATTAGAATTGCTGGGGCCCGGGGCCAAAGCCCGAGCCCATGCCTAGGTGGTGGGGCTCGGGCTTCGGCTTCAGCCGTGGGCGGCAGGGCTCAGGTTGCAAGCCACCTGTCTGAGGCTGAAGCCCTTAGACTTCAGCTTTAGTCACCCCCACCCAGGGCAGCAAGGCTCGGGGCAGGTGGGAGGGTCAGGCTTTGGTCTCCCCTCCTGGGGTCGTGTAGTAATTTTTGTTGTCAGAAGGGGTTTGCAGTGCAATGAAGTTTGAGAACCCCTGACTTAGAGCTTCTCCTATCGACATAGGTACACCACCTCC